TATTCACACACAAAACACTTCCAACAAAGATTTTCCTATTGGCTAAACCTGAGTGTGCTCAAATCCACTACAAAGTGGGCTCACAAGCACTTGCCCCAGAGTATATGTGTACCAGCAACCGTGACTGCCCAGCCTCTGGCCAGTTAACATTCCCACAAAGATTACTTTCTAGCTATCCTACCAATGTCATTCTATTAAGGAAAAAAAAAAATCCACACAACCACCACAAAAAAGCACACAGTTTTTGGTTTTTGTCAGTAGTATTACTTTTGATATATCTGGTAAAGAAAAAAAAAAACAAAACCTGGAAGCCCCAGAGATGATCAGAACATGTTCAAGGGCCCTACTGCCGAGCAAGGTAGAATTTCAGTCTTAAAGGAGGCAAGAGGGACTATTTAGGCATGCTCTGCTTTACACCTAAAACCCACAAGGACTGCTGCTCTAGTGCCTTCAGGTTCTGCACACAGACCTTCCTTCCCACACCAAGCATCTGCAGCAATTATTAGACCCAAGAATGTGCTGATATTAGACACTCACCCCAATGCATCAGGCTGTGCACTTCCTCAACATTGTACAAAGAAACTACTGAGAGACACCTGTGCTAAATAACATCAGACTAATCCACTATTAAAAGTCACAGTTTGTGCTCCAGTCTGCAAAGGTTTCTGCTGAAGAAAAGTGCTGAGCTGCCACTGAATCATCACTGAGAAAGATAATCTGAGACCAAGACAGCTTAATAAACAACTCTGAAAGGATTTTACAGAACCCATGTCTCATGTCATGCTTGTATAAGCTGTTTACAACAAGGGGCTAAGAAAGGAATCCTCAGGGAGCCACACATGGGGGCATATTCTTCTCGGAAGAGTTATGTGATTTTTGAAGAATCTGATGTATAGATGAATGAGACAATAAACAGTTTTTAGAGAGGAAAACGATGACACTGGATTCTGAAACTAAGCACAGCAGGTAGCAAGCTTACAAGGGTGTTGAAAAGATTCATACAATTTCCCAAAAGCTGATATACTTAATCCCTCAGAAAAGGAAGATTGAACTGTTACTATCACTCTCAAGCGTAATACCAGATTTCATGAGTACAATACAAGCATAAACCCTTCTCATGGCTTCACCTGGCACATGATTTATATTACTCTTCAATTATTAAGGCAAATGCTCAGGACTATACCATGCATTATATCACTATAAATCCACTGGAAAGCATTTCCCTTAGCCATGGAAAGAAATCCATACTTGTTAACATACTACTGCAGTAGAGACTACTGCCCAACTGCTTTTGTGCAATAGTATCAGAAATAACAGGCCCATCTCTTAAGATTCACCACATTCTTGCTGAAGTAAGTGAAATGGTTCAGTCAAATGTGGATCCTAATGAGTAAAATAATATTTAAAAATACAGCAGATTAAAAATTAACCTAATTCTTAATGTTAAATGCAGTTCTCTTCAAGTGAAACTTGATATAAAACACTGTGTAACAACTTGTTTCATTGATCCTTAGGTTACATCTATACCACATACATGCAGTCAGGATACCAGCCCTTAAGTGCTTTCACATTTTTCTCAGATGAAGTCTATTTCAGGAAGAGAATCATACGAATAATAGTTAATAAAAACATTAAACAAAATATACCAGCCCAGAGTTACCATAGCCATTTCTATGAATCATATACAACTGCCTTTTTTGAAAATAATAAAAAAAATAATACAAGCTGGTCAATTGGAGATGATGATGATTTTGAAGACTGGTGGTCCTCTCTTGTTTTTATACACACTATGTTTACCATACTTGATAAACAAACTATGTCCACAGTCAGCATGAGGATGCTTCTAAAACAAACAAGTCAACAACAACAAAGCCAGCTCAATTGTTTCGTTGCTTCTGGCAATAAGTGCTGTATATTCATATAAACATCATGACCAAAACTTTTGACCACTGATTTGCTCTGCAGCAAGAAGGTAAGCATCCTTCTCCATCTGCAACTGAATGAACAATGTGTATAAGATATATATTTTGTAACACACAAACATTTCTTCTCACAGGATATAAATAATAACACATGATCTACTATACCAAAACCAAGCAGGATTGCCGAGTATTAACAGCAGGTACACAAAACACTCCTACTCCCCTCTGATTTTTCCCTCACTCTCCAGTCTCTCTGGGTCTTGTACCCAGCCGTGGTAACATTCATAATTCCCAAAGCAGAGAAAAAAAAAATAATTATAATTACATAGCTCGACACAAGAACATGAAAACACATAAACTCTGGATCAGCCAAATACCATTATTTTTTAAACTCCTAATAATACTATTATATATTCTCTAACTGATTCAAAGAAGTGTGTCATAAAACATTCATGGTAGTCAAGTTGTCTCTCACCTAAAACAAGCCTTTCTCCTTCCTTCCTGCTGCCTGATGTCATTGCTCCCTTAATCATGCCTTTATTTATACAAGCTGGTGTTTAAAACAACTACCTCACAAAAAAAAAAAAGTTCAAGTAAATTAAAAATAACAAAATCAGATCTACAAGATCAGCCATGTGAATAAATTAAAAGTTAACTCCCCAGTGGAGATTCCAGCAAGTCTGTGGCTCCACATAGGCAAAACAAACTGCAGAAACAAAGCCATAAGACTCTAGAGAAGCTATCATTTGACAATTCATTTAAATTTTTGAGTCCTGCATCAACTTATGAGGAACAACTTGCACAAGAAAGACTATTCATCTAAGCTGAAGCAAACAAAATCATGGCCTTTAATTTTTGTACAGTTCACTATGTACATGTTGTATAGCACTATTTAATTTAATTTAAAAATAAAAATTGCCGCATAGAAAGACAAATTCCGTAGTAAGTCTTTTGCTTTATTAAATCCTCAGTATGAGATGAAATGTTCTTTTTCCTTTGTATTTTTAAACTATCTCACACGCTTCAAAACGCTGTTTGCCGAGAGCCACCAAACGCTGTCTGCCCCTCTTCCGTGCCAGCCAGCGGCTCTTTCAGACTGCCGGCCCTCATCCATCGGAGGAGGACAGAAATAGTCCTACAAAGATGTCACTTTTAGATGTCTGCTATTGGGATAGCAGAACGTTCACGCTGCGGATTGCAGAAACCGGTTTCCTTTTCCACTAAGCACCAGCTATATTTAGGAGAGTCAGCAACACGAGAGCCACTGCTGCGGCCACCGTGTTCTCTCCGTGACCGCCGCTGCTCCGGCCCCCCCGGGCCCCGTTGGCCAGCAGGGCCGGGCGCCAGGTTCGGCCGTTATCATGCAGATTTCTGGGCACGTCGGTTCCCGCGGAGGCCGCGCCCGGGGCTCACCGCCGCCTCAGCCGAGCGCCTCATCTCCCGCAGCCCCACTCCCGGGCCCACTTGCCGCTGGCAGACGACCAGGGCCAGTCCCGCTCACCTGCGCTCGCCGCAGCGCCGCCACCCCGCAGGCACAGACGGACAGGCTCCAGCCGCCGTCCTCTTCAAAGCAGCCGAGGCCGGGGCGAGGCCGGTCCGGGGCGGGAGCGGGATGCCCGGCACCGGCGCCGTGAGGGAGCGGCCCCGCCGGGCGGGGAGGGGCGGGACGAGCGCGAGGAGGGGTCCTGTGGGGGCACGCCCGGGCTCGTGAGGCAGGGGGCTCTCGGGGCGCGCGGGGATCGCCAGGTACGCCACGTACCCCCGGCCCTTGCAAACAACCCGACGGAGACCGGTCACTTTATATATATATATTTATATATATATATATATATTTTTTTTTTTTTTTTTTTTTTTACCACTTTTTGTGGTAACATTTGCAGCTGCCCTCGCACCAGGTAACATTTTGTGGTAACATTTGCGCTGCCTCCTTCCCTGCCCGCGCTGAGCACACGTGAGACTCCCGCAGGGCCGCGGCCGCACCGTGCAGCCCCCGGCAGCGCAGGGTCCTTCCCCCTGAGAAAGGAACGCGCTCCCTGGCAGGCGGCCCGGCTCCTGCGGCGGGACAGTCGGGCGGGGGAAATAACATAGAAGAATAAAAATCAGTTCCGAAGCGCTGTTCAACGCACCTGGAACACCATTCCAGTTGCTGCCCCGCGGCGCTGGCCCCGGCAGAGGGCGGCCAAGGACAGCGCCGCCGTGCCCGATCGACAACGACCCGCACGGCCTCGGTGCGACCGCGAGCGGACGGGGCAGGGAGACAGGCGGCTCCTGGCGGGTGCCTGGCACCTCCGGCCCTGCCGTTGTGCCTGGGCTGCAACAGACGCAGTCAGTGGCTGCCGTGTGGAGGGACGTCCCGCGGGCACCGTCAGCAACTGCTGTAGAAAGCACGCGTGCTAGGCGGAATGTCGCCCCTCCGCGTGCTACGTTAAGGAGATTTCACTGGAAAGCTCTGCCACTCTGGCACAGAGAGCTGTGTAACACAGAGTTACTGATCTCCCGCGAAATGCACG